AGGGGTGAGCTCGGTCGGCGCAAGCCTCCAGCGCGCCGTCAGCAGCGGCACTGGCGTGGCCGCGCGCACCTCGCGTGGCATGTGCGGGCCAGGCGCTGGCGGCAGCAAGGACAGCTGCCACGCGGCCGAGGGCCGCGCGACCATCGTGCACATCAACGGCGTCGTGCCTGGAGGCTTCCTGCTGGGCTCGGTCTACCTGGACGACGACGACGTGGGCGAGCACAGCCAGAGCGTCTTGCAGCAGGTTGGAGCCACACTGAAGTGCACTGGCAAGCCCTGGGTCCTGGCGGGGGACTGGAACGTCGAGCCTGACAGGTTCCACCTCCGCGCGGGGCACTGGCTGCGCAAGCTGGGCGGCCACGTCGTCGACTCGGGCAAGGGTACCTGCCAGCGCTCCCCCGTCAAGGAGCCATCTGAGCTCGATTGGTTCATCGTCAGCGTAGATATGCTGGACCTCGTCAGCGGGTGCGAGCGCCTCAATATGACGGAGCAGGGCTACGCCAACCCGTGCAGGCCCCACATCGGGGTCAAGCTCTACTTGGCTTGTCAGGGCGACCTTGGCCAGTCATTCCGCGTCAAGGGCCCCGTGGCCTTTCCCAAGGACAGGCCATATGGGCCTATGCCAGCTAAGGAGTGGAACCACGTCGAGTTGCGGGACGCTATCGGAGGGGGGGGGGGGGGACATGCAGGCCATGACGGAGGTCTACCGCGCCCTGTGCGAGGGAGTGGAGAACGAGCTCGTCTGGATCTACCAGATCCCGCCCGACGACGCCAGTTTGTACCGTGGCCGCGGGGGCCCGCCGAGCTTCAGCTTCGGCACGCAGGCCAGGGCGCGCCCCATCAAGGGGCCCAAGGCCAGCTACAAGGGCAAGAAGCTCATGCATCTGAGCGACTATTTCACGCAGCTCCATCAGCTGGTCGGCGGAGGCTCGGATGCCGTTTCTTCGGCAGGGCTCGTCCAGTGCCAACTGGACAACGACGAGCGGGCGGCGGAGCGGATGGAGGCCAGGGCAATCAAGCGCTACAATCGGGTGCTCGGGCGCCGCGCCCGCGGGTGGGTCTCCAACCCCAGCAGCCCCGACCACTACGCGGACGAGAACGAGTGGTTGGAAAATTGCGTGCCCTACATCTTTCGCATGCTGGGGCTGCCGACGCACATTGCGACGGGCCTGGCCCAGAACTTTGGGCGTCGCCTGCAGACGGCCAGGGAAGTATGCGAGTCCGCCTGGCGTCGCGGCGGCGCAGGCAGGCAGGAGCTGGTGCGCATTCTTCAGCAGCTCGGCCTTCTCGACCACGACTGCTGGGAGGAGGAGCTGCGCAGGACGGTGGACAGCTACCACGAGTCCAGGCGCTGGCTGGAAGAGCGGGGTGACTACAGCAGGCCCCATCCCAGGCGCGCCCATCGTCCACGGCTATACCGAGACGGAGAATGGCAAAGGCGACGTTGCTCCCCTACCACCAGTGCTTCGCAGGCTAGCCACCTGCCCAGTGGACACGGGGGGGTGGAGTGCCATCGAGGTGGGTGAGGGAGGCGTCAGGCGCACACTGGCGCGACTGGCCAACGGCTGGCTGCCGCGCCTGCACGCCCCCGACGCTCAGCAGGACAAGGTAGAGTGGATGGACCTCTGCACGCACTACGCCTACGAGCGCCTCAGCCAGTACGAGGGTGGCAATGGCGACGAGGGTGAGCAGGTCGGCGTCACAGAGGGCCAGTCTGACGGGGCGGGGATGGGAGCCGCATCTGCGGACGGGGACAGCGCGACCCCACCCCAGCCCCAAGTCAACTCCTTTGCGAGCCTCGCAGCGGCAGCGGAAGCCAGCAGTGCGAGGGCCACTGGAGAGGGCGTCAGCGATGCGTCGGCGTCGGGGGCGGGAAGGGGGGCCGCATCAGCGGAGGGTATCAGCGCGATCCCACCCCCGCCCCCTCGCGCCAGCTCGGCTCGGCCGTTTGGCGAGCGAGCGGCAGCCCGCTGGGCTCGGGCAGTCGACATGTGCGAGGACAGTTGGCAGGCCTCCGAGGGCGCGCGCAACAAGTACGCGCGCAAGGTCCGCGAGTTGGAGGACAGCGACCCCGACGCCTGGGCCATCGCTGACGACGAACACTACTGCTACCTGCAGGGCGTCAAGGAGTTCACGCGGTACCACGGCGGCAGGCGCGGGGGCAGCGACTGCAGCTCCGACGGCGACGTCAGCAGCAACGGCGACGGAGCAGCGCAAGCGAGCAGCAGGGCGCCCAAGCCCCCATCCACGGTGGGCCTTCCCCTCGGCGCCCAGTGGGCAGCGCGCGTGGCCCTGGCCGCCGAGTGCCCCAGCCTGCTCCCCTTGGCCGACTGGGCCGCTGAGGCCAGGGCCGAGGCGGAGGCCGATGGAGCAGCCTTCGCCGCCATTCGTGGCCAGGGCTTCAAGGAGTGGATCCGTCACTCCATGGCTGAAGGCGCAGGCGGGCTTCACGCCTATCGGCGCGGGCCCAGGGCATGGGCCCCTGACGACGAGTACAACG